CCCCCCCCCCACTTCTCTCCATCTTTAATGCTGCTTGATTTTTTTCTTCTTTTCTTTTTCCTCTCTCCTTTCTTCCCTCGTCTGTGAGAGGAGCTACACGGTGGGAGTGTGTTGTCTGAGTTCCAGGGCAAAAAATAGACGGCAAATTACAGAGCCTTCTGAGAACACCCCACCATGCAGCATGACCTCAAAATAACACAGCCAGACATATAGTCCCATAGAAACGCCAAGTACACATTACGCCGTCCTACTTCTGGTTCTGCTCGCTTGACGTGACAGTCGCACAGAACCCTTTGCCAACCAGCAGTCCGACGCAGTGTTTGAATTTATGTGCCTCCGGAGGAAAGTCTGAGTCTCATTCACAGATGTTAGTGTGATTACAGCCTCGTCTTGGCGCACTGTTTCAGAAAAGCACACACCTAAAAGTAGTTACTGCTACGTATCGGTTCCTTTGCCAAGGTCAGACTTCGTCACTGCTATTTCCTTCAGAGCAACGACTGTTTTCCATCAGGAAAAAGATTTAAAGATGCGCTCCTCACTGTAAATTGTCACATGCGCTGCAATACCTCTTCAGTGTCCCCAAGTTTTGTCACATTCCAACCGCAAATCGCAATTGGGGCTTTTTGCAGTAAACCAACAGAAAGTGACATAACTGTGAAGTAGAACGATGACGCTGTACGTTTTTCAAAACTTTTCAGCGACTGAAGATGTAAAAAGCGTCTTGTGCATTTGTGTTCAGCCCCCTTTTACTCAGATAAACCATATAAAACCTAGCGTAACAAACTGGCTTCAAGATAATTCATTCCTAGTGTGTCCACCAGTGTACGACTGATTCCATTCAACAAGCCTTTATTTTTGTTTTGAAGGTTTGTTGAGGAATATCAGTGAACTAACACCATCATTATGACCAAGAGACAAGGCTGACAGAGTGCCAGTGCAATTTCGGAGAAATCTAATTCAGGGCTAGGTGATAAAACAATATCCAGAGATTTGGACGTCTGACAGAGCACTATTTGAAAATGGAAAGCGTCAATCATAACATAACAGTAAAACCTACCAAGGCATTGCTGTTCATCTTAACTGAGAAAGGCCGGGAGGGAGAACATGAATCAGAGGAGCTGTCAAGAAACGAGCCACGGAGATCAGCAGAAGAAGGTGCTCCGGTCAGATTAAACCCGAATCAGACTTTGTGGAAGCGTTATGTTGTGGGAACTTGTTTCTTTGGAAATTGACAGCAAAGCTTATCAGAGTTCAAGGGAAACTATGCGGATCTGAATTCAGAGGAGTCTTCACTTTCTAGGAGGGAACCAACTCTAAACGTAAACCATATCTACAATTATTCATGTGTTAGAACATTCTTGAGCTAAATACAAAAGACAAAAAAAGAAAAAAAAAGAAACATTTACTTACTACTGCTTTCTATTTGCTCACAGTTAACATGATTTGGGTTGATCTACTGTATAAAAATCATTGCTGGTGATTGTAATGAGACTAAATTAATACCTTTTCCAAGACGCTGTATTTAAACCTCCGACAACGCTGATTTACAATGCAAGCGGTCAAAAAACCAGGAACCCAACAGGAGTGATGAATGAGCATCACAGGTTTTGTCACACTCACCTTGAGTGAGTCAAAACAGGCAATGACTCTGCCGTTTTCCACCTGACAGCTCTTGGCAGGGTGGGCGAACTTGCACTCATTGTCCGGCCGCGAACACGTTCCTCTCTGAAATTCCCGACACACCTCCAGCGTCAGCCACTTTGTGTCCCGGATCGGTGTCACATTCACCGCCATTTCAAACTGAAACAGGAAGGGGTCGATTGGGGGGAGCTAGCTGTCCAGCAAGCTTGCTGTTCTCTGGTAAAACCGGGGCAAACGGTGAGAAGGGATAGGTTGAGAACATGAGAAAACAAAAAACCCAAAACAAAAAACAAAAACACAAAAAACACAGAGGTTGTGCTCCAAGGTTGTGATCTGAAAGAAGCCTGTTGGGGGGGCTCTCCTAACACCTGGGGTCCATCCCAGGAGTCTGTTTGTGGCTTAAACTGGAGTCCTTCAGAGCCTATCAACCGAGGCTTGTGTCGCCGATGACCATACAGCGTTGTCTTGTAACCTCTCTCTTAATGCACACGTGTGCACGCACAACCCCGGTTCTCTCAATTTGCTCAGTTGTCAGCCAAACCGTCAGACGAGATGAACGGCACAACGCGGTATCGATCAGGCCTGGCCCATGATGACAGAACGCAGGGGCCGGCAGGGGGGAAAGCAGCTGGAGGAGAGGAGAGCCGGCGGAGACAACAGCAGTGAAACAATTTTCTTCAGCTAGCAGGAGCCGATAAAAGCTGTTTGCCTTCAATATTTGTCTGCTGAGAAGGTGCGGGGGGAGAGGGAGCTGGGCCTTCACAGAGGAGGCTTGAGTGGCATGGATGGTGGAGAGAGCAGGATACGGGGGCGGAGGAGGAGGTGTCGTTTGCACAGAGACGGCCTTAGCGGATGGAGTTGGCAGTCATGGCAGCCCTGGTGCTTTTGGTGTGGCTCCAGCGGCTCCGGCGGACTTGGGCAGGCACGGGCGGCCTCAGAGAAGCCAGACGGCTAGGGGGGTCAGCACATGAAGGCACTTCTCTCTGCAGGAAAGCACAGGTCAGAGGTTAACACATACAGGACAGAGTCACGTATAAAGCTTCAGTCAGTGCATCCTCCTATACATTTTCCTCCGGTAATCAACCTTGTCCGCCGGCTCTTGGAAAAATCTAATCGGAAATTGTGAAGAGAGAGAATTTTAAGCATTTAAACTGAAGAAGAAAAACAAAAGAGAGATATGAGAAAATGAGCGAAGCGGGCAACCATATTTAGAACTCTGACTCAGAATCGAAGTTCATTACAAAACAGCTTTAATTTATGCGTAATGCACTTGAAACATTTATGCAATCGAGAGGAATCCTCAATTTCACTTATTAGCATTAATTACAATCCTAAAAACGACCCCGCTGTAATATTGTAATAGTTAATAATGTAATCATAGATGATAGTAATACCACACGGAGCGCAATTGAGCATGAAATGTAAAGATTAGTAAGTTGTAAGTAAGCCTGTCCCTGGTGAGACTGCAAATGGCCAGTCAGCTAGCCTGACGACTCCAGCAATGCTGCTGGCTGCAGGCCAAAAGAGAGACAGTGATTTGGACGGGATGAGGTCACCATGAAAGACAGAAGAAGAGACAGAGACGGACTACCTTCAATGTACACATATTCTCCCTGTTCACTATAAATGCCTTGCTAAAACTTTGAGTCTGTACGTAGCTGATTACATTAGTTTATTTATTGGGTGAGGAGAAATCTTGCTCCTTTACCAAACATATGCACATACTACATTCAAATATATGCACAACCTGCTGAGGTTGAGATTAAAAGACGACCACCTTAGCTGTTTTATTTGTTTGCATAGCTAATAGCCATGTAGCTACAAAGCAGTCATTAAGCTGGGTTTTTATTTCTTTAACCCAAATGCTGGATTTATGCTGTAAGGGCACATGTTGGTTAGTTCCAAATGAACATTGAGTCAAAGATTTTGACCCAATGTTGGGTAGGAGGCCAAAACGAGCCTCGTTGTCCTTCACAGACCCACAGTTGGAAATACACACAAGCCCGATCAGACTTCACTGAAACCTGATTTTTTTTTTCCTCTTTGTGTAAAATACTTCTGATGAGATGACATAAGTGTAGCAAACCCTGCAAGTAATCAACCTTGTAGCATAAGCAACATATTAATGTATTTGTGCTCTGTGTTTGACAGCTTGACAAAGCCAATGTTTAGTTTTTACGAGTTCTGGTGTTGGTGGAAAGCACAAACATTCAACAGCTGCAAAACACCAGATGAATAGTGATGAGCCGGACGGATGAACGCGTTTCATGGAACAAAATGCCGTGTTTTGTAAGTGATGTAAAACTGAGTGGAATGGGGGAAAAAAAAAAACTTTTTCAATGTTCCAACTCTACGTGAAGTTTAAAAAGAATAAATCTTGGCACTTTCACTAATTTTGTTAAGCAAAAGCAGTGTTATATTCCTCCATGTCCCACAGTAGACAAGAGCATAAAAACAACTGAAAGTTACATTAAATGTCTATTAAGTGTCACTTTTGCATTATTGGGTAAATATTTGCACTTTTAATGCAAAGTTCCATTAAAGCTTGCATTAAAAGTGTCAATTTTGCATTAAAAATGTCACTATTTACCGAACGGCACTTCATAACAGTCATAAACATTCATGAAGCCTACTTTATGCCAGTCTCATGCACATCCCTTCAAATAAAGTGTTACCAAGAAAAAACAGTTTCAACGGTGGAAAAATGTGCAAACATGATCATACACTTAGCTTTCAAAGTTTTCATTCTCACATTAATAGCTATAACTTGGGTATGCTTTTTTAAAATCTAGAATATAGCAGTGGATTCTGGAAAAACAAGCAACTTAAACCCAAAATAACTCAATTTGTAAGAACATCCAAATAAATGCAAGGGACTGGAAGCAGCAGCAGTGTTAAATGAATAGGTCATGACCTTTGACCAACAATAACTCCTACTTTCTCCAGTGGGTAATTTTACAAACAAGAACAGCTTAACCAGCCAAGATGTACACAGAGTCAAACTCTCCCTCTCTCTCTCTCTCTCAAAAAAAAATAAAAAATTTATATATATATATATATATATATATATATATATATAATGTTACCATGCAACACTATGGAATCCATTCATTTGTACATCATCAAAAATAATTCAAATGGGTGTACATGAATTGTTTACTTAAATGATGAATGCTTCCTCGCTTACTTAGTTTGCTCATATTTCCAAAGAAGATGAATTAAATTTAGAATTAAATTCAGCCCTTCTGTATGCCACCAGACAAAGTCAACTCGAAACTTAGCAGTAGAATAGAGAAGCAGAAAGAAATGGTGAACTAACAGTTAAAAAAAATGCACCCAAGGCTCCCACCACAGCCCTGCTCTTGCTTTTCCTGAGGTCATGCATTTAAGCAGAGAGGAAATGTGAGATCAGAGCAGAAGCCCACAGAATATCCAGTAGCAGTCTCATGCACTGAAGCAAAAGAGAAAATAGTCCGTTCAAAATAAGTGACGGGTTTAAACAGCTGGAAAATTTTCACAAATTTCATTAGACAAACTTATCCTTGTGTCTTAGGGGCGTTGGATGTTAGTTTTTTTGTTGTTTTTTTTTTCTCAAAGGAGTTCTGTTTTCTTTGGACGCTCAGAAGCTCTTGTGCAATGCGGTGCTGAAAACAGCTACATCAAACTGCAGCCAATTCAATAAACTGGGCTCCACCTCTGTGTGTTATTAGCGGTTGTTCAACATGGAGGACTGAATGAGGTTCACTCCAAAATAGAAAATGGGAACAAAGTCATATCAGATGTGAAAAATGACTTCAGCATCGAGGGAAATATATAAATAAAGGTTCCGTCAATAAGCATCTTAGCATCTGTGAATAATGCATGTGGTCATTTCCCATAGCCAGAGGCTAAATATATTAATACACCTGCAGATCCACTAGCCGAGGTAATAAGGTGGGGTTAACGCTGAGCTCAAGGGAGATGTAGATCATATGCAACAGTAATTGCCCCATTGCCCTTAAAGTGTGCACTTTAACATGTAGAAGAATTCAGTAAAACACTAGCAAAGTTTTTCTCTTTAACATTTTGTTTTTGATTTACTGAAATACAACCACAAAACTAAATTTAATTTACTGGAATTTGAAGTGACAGATCAACAATCGTACCACACTGAAGTGGAAAGAAACACGTGATGGCGGTTGAAGGTGAACGCACCTCCACCACCTCCAGCTGTTTTGGAGTTTATCTCACAAAAATCCAAATAGAATTGTGTAACGTGATAAAATGTGACAAAGCTTAAGGGGGGTGAATAAAAAAATATATATAAATAAATATATTTTTTTTTTTTTTTTTTTTTTGCAAGGCGCTAGGGTAACCTCATTATAAGAACAGAGTGTAACGCCAAGAGTGCCACAGAGGTTCAGGTAATCATCCCTCAGTTGAAGAAAGTTGTCTGATCTTCAGCTCATCTGTCAACGCTAGCCTCGAGTGACTGCAGCGAACCCAAACACACACACGCAGACCCACGTGTGTCAGAGATGGAGACTAATTTCTGAATTTAAAGCATTACTTTCCTAATTTTTCTCCAGTGTTTTCGCCTGCGGTAAACAAGCCGGGGAGAAATGTAAACACATTGATACAGATCCTGTCTCCGTGCTTCCTGTTGCTGACCGTGACCTTTGCGCAGGGATCAGTTTGCACACACTCACAGCAGATGACATGGCATAAATTACAGCAGAGGTTTATCAACCCCCGTCTAATAAACACTTTTCTGAGATGTAAACACTCTCGGGGCTAATCATCATTATCTCTTGTTCAAAATGTTAGAAATGCGTACAATGTGAAAGCAAATATTGTACGGCAAATTTTGCTGAACCATACACAGTTCAGTCTGAAGTTTATAGTGGATACAACAAACATGTTAGTGAAGGTGAATTGGTCAAATGAGACGTCACTTTATTAACTACAAACAAAAATCATATGAGTGGAGGAACGTTAACATTGCAAATAACCTTTAACTTATCAGGGAAATGGTGGTGGCAGCATCATGAGAAGATGTGCAGAGTTGTTGAGAAGATAGATTGAGCTGAACACTCTTGGAGGAAAACCAAAGGTTGCTATGAATTAAAATACATATATGTGTTTAGAAAGGCCTAGTCAAAGTCCACACCTAAATCCAATTGAGATTCTGTGCCAAGAATCGAAAATCGAGTTGGCACCTCAAAAGATTTACAGCTAAAATTGCGGTGTCAGATTGTTTCATTAAGTATTAAATACACTACTTTTCCAATTTTTGTTCGTCAAAATTTGAAAAACCGTGAGAATTTTCCCACCGCTAACAATTATGCAGTTCTGTGTTGGTGGGTTGCGTGAAATTCAGATAAAAAAACAGTAAAGTTTGAAGTTATAGCATGAAAAGGTTTAAGAGAGACGGATAAGAAATTCCACATACATATTTTGTCGCTTCACTTTAAGAAAGTTTAAGACCCTTGAAATCGAGATGGAATATTATGAATTCTGCATCTCTATTTTTATCTTTTCACTGCAGGACTGCAGCATCCTGACCCCACACATTGGCATCGTTTCTGCTCTATTTTTAAATTAATTCACATTGTCTGGCCAAGAAAACAGCATTGTAATTGAATGAATGTCAAGCACAAGTATGGAATAAATGTTTGGATTTGTTCAAACAAATCCAAACAAATTTTGCGAGCAAAAATACAAAGCCAAAAAAAAAAAAAAAGACTAGAGGCCATTTAATTGACCGGTGATACTGGATGTCCTGGAATCCAGTGACAATTTGACATGAAAGGAACATAAATGATTAAAAACAACAAAAAAAAAACACAGTTCTATGAAAATTAAGTTTAAAGAAGTGATTTCAAATAATTGAATGAACAAAAAATAAAAACAAAGTTACAATAAACAGGACTTAAGCTTTTGCATTAAAGCCATGCTTTCTGTGGTTTTTGCTTGAGGTAGCTGCAAATCCTGAAATTAATGT